GAAGCGCGAGCGAGAGAAACAAGTTAAAAAGTCATAAAATGATATTTATTTCATTCTGCTGCCGCATCAGCAGCCTCACGGGTGGCATCATCACCAGAACCCAAGCTAGATGATGAAAGGAGCAGGAGCAGGAGCAGGAGCAGGAGCAGGAGCAGGAGCAGGAGCAGCAGGAGCTCTAGCACCAGCTGACACCGAAGCTGGCCAGAAGAAGAAGTTCCGTAGATTTGCTTTTTATTTGAAATTTATATGCGAAGTCGGTGGGGAAACGCACAAAGAGCGGAGATTCCGGGCAGCCTTTTCACACAACTATTTGCCGCGTTTATGGAGTTGAAGCTTTGACTTTTCGCCGGGAAATGGAAATGCGCCAACGTTGTGGCTTTTTAATGTTTTCTTGTTAAAGTTTATTGAAAAACTTTGGCCAGTCACGTTTGAGTAGTCGGTGGGCGCGCAGTAGCTTATAACTGCGAAAAACACCCACATATTGGTACACAATGAGAAATAAACAACAAAAGGATTCTCGGAACTTAATAAAATTGTTATTTCAATAATGCAATAATTCATTATTTACTTTATTAACTTTTTACTAGTTTCCTTTCTTCGAATGTCAGGATAGATTATACGACTTGTAGATGAATTCATGAATGCCATCATATTAGAATGTTATAAATATATGATGTATATCAAATATAGTTCTTACAACTTTCTGAATACCTTTTGAGATCGTATAAAATTTGCCAATTTCGTTCTATGTATGTCCGGGAAAAACCGATTCGTTTTTCCCCAAAACCAGAAACGAAACAGCTGCAAAAGTGCTCGCCCCGCTGCCCATGAAAATGGGGCAAAAGTGATTTCTTCTGTTTAATAAAGAAAACGGAAACTTGTGCATATTACTTTATCTATTCCCCAGTCCCGAAACATTTCACAATAAAGATGGAGATAGAGATAGAGAAAGAGAGAGGGGGAGAGTTGGAAAAGGGGGCGTGGTCATGTTTGCTCATAATTGAAATTTCGCGCTAAACAGGAAGTGGCCATTGCCAGCGCTTTTGTTGCGGCCGGTTCAAGTTGTTCGAGTTGTGTTGGAATCAACTCGGGCTGAAAGCTTTTCAGGGGCGGGAAAATGTGGGCGGAGGATGCCAGGCCACATGGCCGAGTTGCGGGGGAAAATGCAGTTCATAAACAACAGCAGGAGATGCGAAAATGCAATAATATTTATGAGAAACACTCTGTGTCCGGAGGGGGATGGAGATATGCGATGGCGAGTGCAAAAGAAAATTAAGACCAAAGAAAATGGGAAATGTGCGCGAACAACATGCAGCAAGGAATGGGGCAGATACTCCCCGGGAATTGTCATTGTCTTCAGATCCAGATACTACACATGTCTCTATCTCCATCTCGGACCACTCGCCTCGCCATTGTTGGGGCGAACAATGCCGAACGATGACTGGTTGTTTCAGGGAAACTTTCTCCCAATATAAAATCGATCGGATTTGAAATGTCTTACTTTTCGGCTCTTTAAGGAGAAGGAAACCATTATTAAAACGGACAATGGAAAATAGTTTCTAACAGAAAGTGAAAGTTAAAATCGAAAATTCTGTGGCCGAGATTGTGGAGTACCAAAAAAACAAAAAGTTAAGAAATGTTTAGCAAGGGGAATTAATATTGCTTCTATGTAGATTCAACTTTAATGCAAACAACAAGTAGAAAAAAATGAAATAACAATGTTGGAAAGACATTTTAGTTTTCCAATTTCATTTCTTGGATTTATATCTTTGGCTTTTACTGCTACATAACATAGTTGCCACATAACTGCACCGAATCCTAAATTGTAACTGGGTGTGGTCGGAAAAAGGTGAATAATATCCAAAGGACTTGGAAACCTTTCCAGATTCCTGGAATTCGGGTTATGTCTGAGCGGGTCTCAGCCACTACCACCTTGAGTTGCCTGGCTATACATAGTGTTTTTACTTGTCTGGACATTCTTCTTCCCTGATATTCCATGGCATTCCATCTATCGCAGAGCTGCCCGCCCTCCAGTTCTTCCTCGCTGCATCCATTTATTTTCCACTCTGCCGTCTGTCAAGCCAGTTGCTCGTACATCGCAGGCTCCCCCTTTTCCGCCCGGGTTTTCCCCCATTTCCCTGCCCATTTCCACCACGTACGCTGGCACTGCTGTGTGACATGTGCTTCCTCCGGTTGTATTTTTGTTCAAGCGCCCCCCTTCGCTTGTGTTCTTTTTTTTCCACTGTTACTTTCCACATGTGAAATTGAACTTTGCATCTCGGTGCGACGCGTCGCAACTTCACAGATACAAAATGCAACGAAATTTTCATTTGCCAGCGCCGATGGTGCACTTGACTTGTGGCGCTTCTCCTGCTCCTGCCCCATCCTTGTGCCCATCAGTTTTCCCCCTTTCTGACCGCCTTGCAACAGCAGCGCTTATGACGCTGTTTTGACACTGCGAACGCGCGCGCGTGTTTATAAATAAAATATATATGGAAATTTATATTTGTGAAATTTTTCCACGCTTCTGCGGGATGCTAGATGATGATGATGCACACAGAAACATGTGTTGTGCACCCTTCTGGCTTCGCGTTTCCTTTGAAGTTCATAAAAATTAACAAAAAATCAATTTACAAACACAAACGATGCGCTGATGAGGCGACTGAGGAATGTCGAGTGCTGCAGAGTGAATATTGGAGTGCACATTGTGAATGTTTTCATTGCAATCGAGAATGTGCGCTTAGTGAAGCCTCTGATCTAAACCGCCACGCCCATCGCGACGCCCTTGTCCTTGGGTGGTGGTGACTCGGCAATATATATGAATATTTCCTGTGAGCGTGTTGATTGCCCATCAAAGCAAAGCCAAGGCCAGAGTAAAAGCAGCAGGAGCACAGCAAGAGATTTGCATACAACACACCATGCCAGCCGGCAAATAAACCCCCTAATATCAGACGAAACAGTACAGTACAGAGAGAAAAAGATATATATTACTAATAAATTATAATCAAACTATGGGTAAAGCAAGATATATTGAAACTAAAACATGGACAAGCTCAAGAATACCTTCTTGCAGGCAATAAAAAATGCAATAAATTTGTATTTTGATGTGACATTTTCGCACAGTGCATTTGTGAGTGTAGCTTCAGGAGGAACATAAAAATAGCGGCGATTATGATGAAAATATTCATGCGACAAACGGAAGCCATATCTTCCCCCTCCGACGACATGCGATGCGATGTGCTGTGTGAGTTGTTTATGTGCCAACGATATACAGAACATTTGGATACCACTTAAGGCGTTACCACCACTGTGTGGGAGTGTTTGCTGAAAAAAATCCATCGATACATGCCGAAATTCCACAAACCGAAGCGCACTCCAGAGAGCTCCGGGAAAAGCGCTTTCAATTGCCATGCAAATGCCAAGCTAAAAGCTGAGAGCTAGGAGCTGAAACTCAAGCCAGCTAAGGATTGCCGCTAATAAAGCGGCAAACGTAATTAAATTTAATGCCGGGATGCTCAGACAAAAGCCAAACGGGCATGACGACGCCCCTAGACTCCAGGCACAGACCTTAGCCAGAAAATGTCTAAATCCAGGCATCGAAATTCAATTTACTACAAAATCCCATGCATCGATGGGCTCGACGACAAAACAGCGACGGAATAGAAAATACTGGAAAATGTGTCTCGATTTCGGCCAAATCCTGTCATAAATTTAAGACTCCGCCCCGGCAGCATCGCCTGGGATCTTCCACAAAGGAAGCCACCGACACGCAGACGACCCCAAAAAAAGGAAAATATGCTGATGTCGATGCCGAATTATGATTTGTTTTTGTCGACTGGTAGGGTAGGGGTAGGAGGGTGGGAGGGTAGGGTGACGGTATGCCAGCCAGACGTTTGGGAAATGAGATTTTTCCCCTCAAGGTTGCACACATCCACAGGCGGATCCTAAACTACTCGCTACTACTACAGAGAACCGGCGGAGGCGACGACGCTCGTAAAAAGCAGGAGGCACCGCCTGATGGTGCCAGGATCGAAAGCCAGACCCGGACACACATCCTCGACCTCGCAAATTATAAAGTTGTTTGGCCAAAAGTGCTGACGCTCTCGCACCATGGCTTGCAAGTTTTCTCTTCGTTTTGAAAAATGTGCCAAAAGCGGACAGAAAAAAAAGAAAAAAGGAAGCCAAGTTAAGAAGAAAAAAAGTAAGTATAAGACTTCTGCACGTTTTATCTAACGCACATTGATAAGGATTTTTGGCAGTCGTCGCATGATTTGCAAGTTTGCACAAAACGCTCCAGCAAGATGGACGCTTTGTGCAGACGTGAGCGAAAATGCGATGACCCCTTGGCATAGTTCTGCTCCGGATTTACATTTCGATGATCAAATCAAGTGGTCAACTCGGTGAGCTTGGGTGGGATTGTGAACAGGTGTTGACCGGAGCGGAAAATGAAATTCAAGCTTAAGGGAACTATTGAGTAATTTGAATTCAGGAACATCTTGCATCACTCTTCGGATAAGTACTTTGAGTGCCTCAAAACAAAAATATACTAGCTCCCTTTGAGTTACAATCGAAACTAAACTAAACAATCATTAAATTAAGTAGAATACTAATACCCTCTAAATCCAATTTAAAATCTTTCTATATATAAATCATTTATTCCACATACTAAATCCCTAATTTAACGTTATGCAATCAAAACCTCACATACTGAATTTTTCATATGAATACAAATAAAAACCCCCCCTTGTGCTCTGTTTTTAGAAACGTTTCATTCCCGATTTCGCGAATATAATCCTGAATTTTAAACAGTTCCCCATTGACTGAGAAAATCCCGAATGGAGCAGGCACCATTACGAGTGGGACTTCCCCTCAATAATTTGAGGGGAAACCACCAGCTCGTTACGGGGCAAAGTAACTGGGTTTTTCGGCAATTCCCGCTCCTGGCAATCGTTAGCTGTTATTGTTATTGCACGTAATACAGTTGCTTGGCTTGTACTCACTGTTCCTCTGAAAGTCCTGCGATTCCTCGTCCGCGGAAACTGCTTTCAGCTGCAGGCAAGTGAGCAGGACCAGGGCCAAGCCGACAGCCCAAATCGCTTTCCCATTGTCCGGGCATCTCGTCCGTGATTTTCGGTGTGTGTTCTCGGGCTGCTCCTGCCAGTATGTCCTTTGCATCGCTGCTGCTTCTGTCTCGGATCCCGATTCGATTGCTACTCCTGTTGTTGTCCTCGCTGTCGTTGTTGTTGTTGTTATTGTTAATAAAAGCTGCATGGCTGTCATTTTGTTGTGCTTGCGGTGCGTTGTGCCAAACGCAAGAACGTCTCGTCATTTATGTGGCAAACTTCAATTTGACCAGAGTGTCAAAGAAACGCAGAGAAGTGCAAAAGGAGTACAGAATGTTGCAGCAACTGCAGTTGAGCGTGTGTGTCGTGGCGCCAATAAACACGCGTCTCCTTGTAATGGCCGCGCGGCTATTTCCGTTTCCGCTTCCGCCGTTGGCTTTAATGAAGCGCCAATGTACTCTGCGCCCATAAAAAGAGCATTTCACCAGAAATTCACCAATGAATGCATGTCCATAGGACTCAGACTCAGATTCAGACTCAGATCAAGTCCACAACATCGTTTAATGTCCTTTTACATGTTTATTTGCCGCTTTTATGGCATTCCGTTTTTTTCGACGACTTGGCGGTCCGAAAATCCTGTGAATAGAAAAGCAAATGTAGGAACATGAGTAAGTGCTGATTGTTTTTTAGGGGGTACACAGAAAACAAATTGAATTCAACTTTAAAGATATTTTAATAAATGTGTCAGTTATATTTACTCTTCAAATAATGCAAAATTCTGTTAAATATATGTAGTTAATATTTCCAAATAAAAGCAATATTAAAAATGTCCAATAAATACGTTAAAGAAATATTTATCTTTGTGTTGTAACCACTCGCCGGCAGAAATATGAAAAGTGCTAATAAAATGTTTATTCACAGGCAAAGGCAAATTGAACTCGTAAAGAGCTGACCGAAAAAAGGGTAGGTCCTGTAGGTCCTCGAATCAGGATCGAGGAGGAATGGCCTTTGCCTGCACACTTCTCGAAATTGGTTGTTTTATGTGGCCATCGCATCGATGAAGTGTGATTAATGGCGCGTTTCAATGTGAGACGCGTAATTAAGGCAGTAGATTTATGTGCCCAGTCGCAGCTGAGGCATGACCTTTCCACCCCTACAGATGGCCTTCCCTCTCAGTCAGCTCCTTAACTCCCCCACCGTCGGCCGATAAAAACGAGCCCTCGATGAGTGCTGCTTTATCACCCAGCCAAATGTTACTCCTGCTGCTGCTGCTCCCTTTAATTGCGTGTTTTTGGGAAACACGAGTGTCGACAATTAAACAACGCATCAAAATTGATAAGCCAAACCAGCCTTTCTTTCATTTCCTCCCTCGTGCGTCCTGCAGGGAGTAATCCTGCCGCATTAATGGAGTAAAGACGATACCAGGACATTTGCCCTTAACCCAGAAACCTGGAGTACGCATAATTATGCAACATTTTGTATTGGCAACCAAGCGTTAACTTGGCTCCTTCTGCGTGAATGTGTGTTAGGCTCTTTTTAATGAGCAAATGCAGCTTGCACTGGAAGAAAATGTGTTTTTATAGGTAATTAATAAAGGGAAAGAGCTCTTCTTCCAACTTAATTCGTTGCAACTTGCAATCAAGATACCCCAAATTTTATAATAACAAGTTTTTCTACAAGTTTCTGCTTTCGGGGAATAATTAACCCGAACTCTTCCTTTAAGGCCCATGTTATTTTTAGCTTGTTTCGCATTTTTTTCTGGGTGTAGGTACCCCACATACTTGCGAAATTATTGCGCGTGCCAAGAAGTGTAAATAAATAAAATATGTGTCGGAGGCTCTCACACAAAAAAAAGTTCATACATTTTTACGATGCCTTTTGATTAAAAGATAATAACTTGAAATACTGACAGACCGAGTGTGTGAGTGTGTGTGCGTTGTTCTCGGGGATGGCACCCACCTACACTCACTCTCACTCGAGCCTCCTATACTCCCTTTTCTTGTTACCTGAACATAAATTAACAAGGCTGAGCTAAGAGCACCAGGCCCATGCCCAGGCCAGGGGAAAGGACTCGACTCTGGGGCTATTGACAGTCAAACTTTGCTCATTAGTAAATTTCCGACAAGCCACGCATGTTCCTACATCTGTCTGCTCCAAGGGGTATATGTAGTAGCCTATATATGTATAGTCTGAGGCGTAGTCGGAGTCAGCTGCTCCCTCTTCTGCTGCTGTGTCATTCGGTTAGCATATTTTATTGCTGATTAATTAACTAAAGGAACGGTCCTTGGACTGCTGCTGCTGCTCCGCAGTTGCATTGTGCCGTTCCGGCTTGAACTTTAATGACACCAAGTGGAAGATTTGCTAATTAAAAAAGTTTGCCAATGCGAGCACGAGAACATGAGAAGGCGAATGAAAGGAGATCGAGTCCTGGGGACAGGCAAAAGTTAATTTCAGTTTCCGTTTCCGATTCGCTTCTTGTTTATTTATTTTTTTTTATTTCTGTCTGTAACTATAGGCAACTATTGATATGCCCTTAAAGCTCCAGTTAGGCCAACTTAGTTGGCAGTGTGTGTGGTTTGCTGTGCCGAAAATAACACAGTTTGGCCAATTGAATTTCTGGATAAATCCCACTAGATCCGAGGCTGATCTGTAGTCTATTTTGGTAACTGCCAGCCGCAGGCAATGGTCAATGTCTACATGCTTATTTGCCTATTGATTGGTTCACTCGGTGGTCAGGTGTTCCTCCTCACAGGTGCCCACCTACATATATCTCACCCGGCTCTTTCAAGATTTTAGCCTTGTCAAATTACCGCAGCCACTCCATCATCGTTAGGCCCACTCACAGAACTCACTCTTCTTCGATGGAAGCTGCCGTCATCAAGGCTCACAAATTTATGGGCAAATGCTCAACTTTGCCATAAATGTTCATCATAATGTGACACAATTTCCTCAAGATTTAACGCCGCATAAAAGCCCAAAGAACATTCCCCATATGGTAATGGAGGGGATTGGGATTGGGATTGGGATTGGGAGTGTGGGAATGGGAATGGGAATGGGACTGTGACAGGGAGTCCTTTCCCAACCCTCTCCCTGGCCATGCTTGGTGCAATTCGCATGCTCAATAAAGTCAAAGACGCATAACTCCCGGCGTAAACGGGACACTGGCATCTGGCATAAATTTCAAAATAAAATAATATAAAGTACTATATAAATTCAGCTGCAGTCAGTCAGCGCATGCAGGCGACAGATAGACGCAGTGTGAATTTAACTGACAACCTCTTATCGGGCAGCTGGGAGCGGGCTTTAGGGCACCAGCCACTCGCTTGCTCCTTGCTCCTGGCTCCTGGCTCCTGGATCCGCGGACGTGGATGGGTTGGAGATGCGAATGCGAATGAGTGTGTGTGTCCCACATGCCTGTGTGATATATCATAAGCATGCGTCTGACAAGCGTAAGCACCGCTGCTGTCACTGTCACAGTAGCAGCAGTAACAGAAGCGGGTGCCCAAGGAGCAGGAGCAGGAGAAGGAGCAGGAGCAGGAGCAGGAGCTGCGGCAGAAGCGCCAACTCCTTGGCGTCAACGCGTGTTATTACACCATGCGGCATACTTTTAGCGCCACTCAAAGAACATTTCAACTGTGCCATTGTGTGTGCACTGAGGGAAATGGAAATGGTAAACATTTCAAATAAAGAAACTTCTTCTTAATATAAAACAAAATATATTTATAAATATATATGATATAGTTTCCCGGCAAGTAAAAACCTTATTTTGTATAAAGAAATGTATAAAATTGTTAATACATATGCATTTTAAATAATATTTAATTTTCTTTAAAGAAAACCAAATCCATAAAGTGTTTTCCCTTAGCTCTCTCTCCCTTTCTAATCAATTTCAATCTTTGGTCGCATTTTCTTTGAAGGAAAATCATATTCTTTTTGAATTCTATTAACTCAGATTTCTATTGTCAAAGTCACGGCGGAAATCTCGACTTGCTGAGTATTTGTTTCCAGTTTTTCTGCTTTTGTGTGCGAGTGTGTGTATAAATAAGAGTTGAATTATGACAAAAGAGAGGAGACGGCGGAAGTAATGGCAAAGGCAACCTGCCCACTATGGCTTGATAATGCGCTCGCCTCGACGCTGACTTGGTCGTGACTTGGAGCGTGTGTTTGCCGCGTTGTGTGCGTGTGAGACGTTTAACATGTCGTATGCGCAATTTGTGAAATATGCGAGAACAGAGCCTGCCAGCATGAGCAATAAGTTTCCCTTTCTTTACTCCCTCCAAGGAGGAGGAGGAGTGTGTGTGTAAGTAAGCAATTAGTTGCCTTTTCAGCTGAAATAAAAGCAAATCGGGTGAGTGCCGTAGGGGGAGTGGGAGTAGTCAGGGAAGGATAAGCAAACAGCAGCTCATTAATATCCTTTATGCGTTTATTACATCAGCAGGCAGGCGTCTTATGGAAAAACATAAATTAATGCAGAGCATCGCCGACAACAACGGGCTGCAAAGAAAAAATAGCAATTAGGCCGGCAAAAGGCAGTTGGCTCGTGCATGCAAGAGAAATCAATCAGACAATTCAATATAATTGGCCTAATTTATTTTTCCCGCTCCACAGAGCGCTTCACAGCGTTTCCGCTTCGCCAGATAATTGCCAAGACTTAATGGCGGAGACAGAAGCCGAGAACAGAGACAGAAATGCATCATTCTTTGTAATGAAAATTAAAAATTAATGCCCAAAGGTAGGCCCCATGCAAAAATGCTTTAATCAAATCCCAACAGAGCACGCCTTCGGTCAGGGTACATTTTTAATATGATTTTTTCTCTGCTTGTTTTTTCTCCAAGCGCGTGTGTGTGTACTATATGTTTTTTATACTTGACTCTTGTTTAAATAAATATTTGCCATTGAGGCGTTGACCTTTTGGCCTCAATGCGTCCTTTGCATTGATTGAAGTTTTTCATTTTTCCTCCCTATTTTATACATATTTTTAACGCTTTTCCCATAGACGCACACTCCATGGATTCCAAGCTCATGTTTGGGCAGCCGGCCAAGGCAAACATCCATATACACATTCATAGGAATGAAGTGGACTTCTTATACATGAAGAGTATATACATATACATATTCATTTTTCATTCTTTCCATTAAAGGGAACAGATTGCTATGTAATTTGGAACAAAATTCACTCAAAGAGCATTTTAATAATGCAAGCTTTTCATATATATATTCTTCAAAATATGAAATCTGTGAAAATAGCTTTATGATTCTACATTTTATAAAGAGACTTATAAGATTTATACCTACAGAACACTTTAAATTCAATTTTTAAATTTTAAATACATGAATTTTATTATTAAAGCATTAAAAAGTTGAAGAAGTGACCACCACCTCACTCTCATGAGGTGCAAAAAGTGGAGGGGGTTTGAGTGAATTCATTTTATCTTTGTGCTGACTGCCTTGGGCCAATTTTCCTGTGTTTTCCGGAAATCACAAAGGGAAATTACATAAAAAACTACTCCATTTGACTAATTTAGTGCACGCATATGGCCAACCCTCCCGAGGGAGGGGAATGTTTTTGAAAGCAGGATGGACACAAGAGTTCCGACTCCTCTGTCTTTCCCCCCTCTTAATTTCCCGGCTATCCC